CATGAAGTCTGTAAAGAGAGAAATAATTTTTTCACTGCTCTGAATTATTCTTACTTTCCCTTCCAAATTTGAGCCTTTGACATACATCTTGGGAAGATCAACAAAAGCCAGCTTTCCAATAACATTTGAAAGTTGTATTTTCATCATTTGAGAGTGTGAAACACCTGAAAGTAAAAAAGAAAAACAAAAACGATATGATTGTCATATCTGAAGAATTATTCCGAAAAACTCTGCTTTAAAAAAGGAAGAGTCGAGTACCGTAGCTGGACTTACCTGTTCCCTCCTCTTCCACGGTGGCACTTATATCAAGTCTATTTTTTACTAAGTTTGGTCTAATTTTGGTGAAACTTGACATTTTAAATTCAAATGTAGTACAGCCTGTTGTGTCCATCTAAAAAGAAAAAGCGAAGAAAAAAAAATAATTGAGATGAATACAACAAACGGTAGAAACAATCTTTTTAGACTGATGTTTTCTGTGAAATGACAGACTAACATCCTGGTCCAATCAGCAATAAAGAGGTTAGAATTTTTAACTTGTAGTGTTTGTCTTTAGATTTAAATTATTGCATGCACATGTGATAATTATTTGTCAATCTATTAATATTTGTTTTTAGCATTATTTATGTCGTGTGCATTTTGGTATAGATACCTTTAGGTACAGTATAAATGTGGGTAACCTTACCTGCTTTGTCATTGTCTCACAGGGAGGCGTTATCTGAAGTTCCTCTAGATTTCTAGACTGCTCAAGAGGTCGGCACACCTTCACTGTAACATTTCCTGGTACTGGCTGTCCGTATGTGTACCTGGTTAAATTAGAACAGATTCATCAACAGAGAATAACTGTATTATTATTAGTTTTTAAGTTCTGATATTTACTTACTAGAAAAAAAAACATTACTTACTTTGAACATACTTTAGTTTCAAACTCTTTCTGCACAATACAGATTTCTTCTTTTACATTCATGTTTACATCAAATTTGGGCAAGACTGAACACATGAACGGTACATGTTACCAGGTAGATTTTAAGAGAAAAGATTTTCTTAAAAAAAAGAAAAGATTTCTAACATACCATATTTCTCCACTTTAAAGGGGTGATAGTTCTTATGTCCACTGACTGTCACTATGATGTTGTACGATCCTTCACGGGCTTCAGAGTTTAAGGAATATGAGAGCTGCAGTATTTTGGTGGATGTTTCATTGAGCCACTGTCCGATTCTGTTCTGGTTCGGATCCTGTTCGGTCAGATAAAAAACAATGAGACACTATACATGTCGGATGACCTGTCAGGGCCCTTCAGGCATTTCAATAAGGGCCTATTTATTAAATTAATTATTGGATAATAAATAAAATTACATTATTGTATTTCAATGTCTTTTATAATCATTAATTAATTATTTTCTAATGAAGAAAATCAACCAATCATTAGGCAATGAATCTCTGTTGCTTGGCAGAAAAACATCTCACAGCTGTCTGTGAGTCCTGCAACTATAAAATGCACTTAAAAAGTTGAAAGTAAAACTGAAATATGTGGATAACAGGTATTATCTGCAATGGACACCTGTGGGGTAAAAAAGATAAAATACTTTGTTGTCTACATAAATGGAAAATTGGCTTAAATAATCTGTCAGATTCCTCCCATAAGAACAACATGTCATGCTATACACAAACGTTCCTCAAAATAATTGAAAAAGAAAACTAAAATGTGATCTGCACTGTGTTGTTTCCTTCTAATTGCAGAGCTGGATAGTTGCCATGAATGAAGAAATACCAGCTGTCGCAACAGCAACAAAAACAACTAAACCTACAAGTTAAGCAGTTTGTATTTGCTTACCTTTAGTTCAATGACCCCGTACTGTTGGACAAAGAGAGGAAAAAGAAAAGTCTGAGTCAAGCAAAAATGAGAATAATATGGAAAGTTTCATTATCATTATCTGGTGCAAGTTATTCAGTTTCATGCCTTAGACTGACAGCCTCATTTGGTTATGTTAGACAAAGAAAGAAACTGATTTTAGAAACCTGTTTTAAACAGCTACTGGCTCAAACCATTGATCGTTCAGCAGACTGACTGTAGATATTGCAGATCTTTAGTTAAGCAGCACACATGGCTACATCACCCATCACCCTCACCAAATAATTTTAAAAAGAAAAGCTATGAAGACACAATGAAAATGCTTCTGGTAGCAAACCAGGCTGGCCAGGGTAGCCATGAAGGTTTGAGATCAGAAACAACATTTTCTGAAAACGACTGGCAGATTGGATATATTTCACATTCCCATGTCTTTTTTGAAATGATTTGAAAGTATTTTGTCTTTGGACTCCTAATCGTGTATGTTTAAACATTAACATGACCCACTTCTAGGGGGTGTGCAGTATTTGAACAGTGATCAAATAAACCCTTTGATTTGTTTACATTCTACATGGATTTTTTTTTAAACAATAATATTTAGCCACTTACCAGCTGATTTATTGGTCTGAACTTTGCATCCATTGAGACCACTCTGAAATGAACTACGAGAAGTTTTCAGATCATATGGATGTTTTAGGTAAACAGCATTAACTTGTCAAAGTTAATGCTGGTAACCCAATTACCTGTCTGTCCAGGGAGGTAGATTGGTTTGTCTGTTTGGATTAAGGTCATGGGTTGGTAGGTTTTGATTAGGACTTTCCTGACTTCTTCTGAGTAAAATGTGTTTCCTCTTACTTGCACCTCCAATGTCTGCACCTCTTCTTTTTTCACTAAAGGGACCTGTGTCAACAAAAATTTTGGAATGATGTGAAACATGAAACTCTTGCTCGTAACACAATGTTATCTTTGAAACAATAGATGGTTGCTTGTTATTGAAAAGCATGCAGTGCCACGTTTTCTTGAAAGTTGACCTGAAACTGAATGATTTCAAGAAACTCCTCCGTAGAGGTCTTCTCAAGAAGGATGGTGTTGTTTTCTTGAGACCTCAAAAAGACGGTCATGGTCAGAGTCTCGTTGGGCTCCATGAGACTCGCACAGAATCTTGTCTGAGCTCCAGCTTCAAGGACAGCAGGAATGGTCACCATGTAATATCTGCAGATAGTGAACATGCAGCTGTAATTTCAGTGGTCTGAATCCTCTCGGGAGTGGAAAACTACCACAATTTCTATTCAAATTAATTATAAACATATTTCTGAAAAGTTCATATAAACTCACGGATTGGCCAAGGTTGGACCAACACATGTTGCACAAAAGACGACCCACAGAATCCATGTCCACATCTGGTTCCCAGGATGACCCATGTCTGACTGCACTGATCCTCTGAGTTACTTTCTATCAAACAGCTGCAGATAACAACACCCCCGCCTACCTTCACTCTCACAGTGCAAACCTTCTACACACCATGTGTGTTTCTCCTGCAGGTATCTAGAAAATAACTCATTCATAAATGCTACAAACAGATGTTTGCTTTAATCATTAGAGTAAATACCAGATAAGAGAAGTTTAACAAAGTTTGTACTAAGTCAAATAAATATATTTGCAATTATGAAACTTGAAACCAAACTAAATTTAGCCTTTTAAATAAAATAATAAGGGAACTGAACTTAAAGTGAAATGAGAGCCAATCATCTGTTTACTCTCTGTTTACTCTGTTGCAAAGTCAATGTGGCTGTAACTGTCTATGTGTCAATTGTGAGACAGAAAACACCTCTTGGCTGTTTAAACAAAACTTGTTGGAATGTTCATTTCTTCTTCTTTTACTGGTTTTAATTGTCTAGATTTTTCCATATAAATTAGTGAGTGGGTTATACAGGTGCACAGTTAGTAGCACTGCTGCCTAGCAGCAAGGGCAGCTGTCTTTCTGCGTGGAGTTTGCATGTTCTCCCTGTGCATACGTGGGTTCTCTCTGGGTACTCCAGCTTCCTTTTAAAAATACCTTATCAATCCCAAATGAAATGAAAATGAAAAGTAAATGATGTGACTAACACTATCCAAGTTTCTTCAGTCATTGTAGATGCTAATGGCTGTGGACAAGAAGGATCTCCTGTAGCTGTCGGTACTACAACCTATCTGAGAAGCCTCTGACTGAAGACATTCTGTTAAAGGACAGTGTCATAAAGGGGATGTCCTGGGTGGTCCATTATGTCCAGCATTGCGGTGAGGCTCTAAAACAGTAAATGTGTGTGTGTGTGTGTGTCTGTATATATATATATATATATATATATATATATATATATATATATATATATATATATATATATATATATATATATATATATATATATATATATATATAGATATAGATATATATATATAGATAGATAGATAGATAGATAGATAGATAGATAGATAGATAGATAGATATCAAAAACAGATAACTCAATAATTTGTTACTATGGTGCAATTATTTAAACCTGCAATATTACGTTCAAATTTTTGCTACTTGTTGAGCAAGATCAGACTGAAGGTTTTCAAGTGGCCAAGATCAATTTTATTTATTGTAAATTATTTTTTTAATTTTCTGCTGAATTGTTTGGATCCTGCTTTTACTAATCTGCATTTCTTCTGGTCGTGGAAATAACCTACATTTTTATTGTTTCTAGGTGAAAACTTTGACATTAGTGTTAGCAAAGTTGTGCAACAGTGCCCTTTAAACAGGATCGAGAGTTTGAGTTTGTTATGCAAATATTACGAGAACTGTGTAGAACGAATAAATGCAGAGATGAACGGATCGGTAGACTGACAGATTAGATAAACACAGCGGTATCAAATTCAGTCCTTTACAGCCCGTGGATTAATGGAGAAACAACATAAATGGACGGATGCGCAGAGTTGGATGTAATGGTGTGGGAGATATAACTCCACAGAAAACATCTGTGACCTACAATCATGTTCAGAGACAGTGAGCCATCTAGTGGACACAATGAAGCATTGCAGAACCCTTCAAGCGAATGATTTCTCTACTACAGCAATTATTTTAAATTCCCAATTTTCCAATTCATAGGGGAAAATAATGAAAAGGCTCCTATATTCTTAAACATTTTAATATATGGGATCTTGTTTAATTCATGGAGTCCGACAAAACCACTGTAGTTTTTTTATTCTAAATATAAATGAATAAACTCTGGAAAATATTGAAACATAATTTTTTTTAGATCTCTTTAAAAAGAGTTTCTTATAAGAATAAGCAGATTGTTAAGGGGGTGAGTGTGGCACATTTGACGCAGCATAATGTAATATGCAATACATGTACTGTTATTTTAAACAAGCATCACTGTTAGTGTTGCATTCCACAGAGAAAGGTGCTCCTCCGTAGCGAATACTTTATTGACAAAACGTAACGTAAAAGGTTCAAATGACAGATAACATCTGACTTTTGTCATCTATGGCAATCTGGAGGTATGTGCCATTTAATTGGCGATCAATGAAAGTAAGTTTATTTTTGAGCAGAGAAACTAATATTATTTTGGGTGTAAATGCTTATTATAAAACACAACTGGAACACCTATTCCAGGTCTCAACAACAATATGAATAATATATTTGGTGAAAGATATAAAATCTGTGTTTGAAGCAATTACTTCTCGGGATGTATTCAGATTACTAAAACACATCTACTGTACTTTGGCAGACATACAGTACTTGCTGTACTTGCTGTGCTTGATGCCAAAGTAAAATTTCACATCACCTAAAATAATGTGTGAAATTGAAGGCAACCATAAGAAACATTTGAACAAAAGCTGTCTCTCCATCCATCATGTATATATGTGTGTATCTGTTTGCACTTGACTGACATTAACACACTTTAAGCTCTTAAGAATAGTCCTTATGAAAAAATGTGGAAAAGCCCATCCCAATCTTCTTCAACTGGATCGCTGCTGTCTTCATCATGTGGGTTAGTGCCGGCACATTTATCATGCTCATCTTTAGGTTCTAGTCAGAAGTCTTTATCCTCAAAGGAGGAAATGACCACAACCTCCCGACTCTTGAAATCCCACACTGCTGTCAGATGGAAGGCCATATTGGAGAAGACGACAAGGTACTCAAACAGCGCAAAAAAGGTGTAACCTGTAAAAAACACAAATATCACACATGCATGTGTTGGCCAGCATTTTACACTGCTTATAACACAGACAAAAAATATCCATCACTATTTTTGTCTCATTACAAGTTGAAATCACATATCCATGCCACACGTTTCCTATTTTTATTTGTTGAAATAGTTTTAAAACATGTTTAATTTCTATTTCCACTAGTAATCATCACTTCTTTGTGGTGTTTATGCAAAACCTTAGGTTTATATCTTGTGTGAATTTTGTCAACTTTTGTGTCAGCGTTTTAAAATATCAAACATGACACAAGGTAAAACTTACTTCCTGATTCACAGTACATGTTGTGTTTCCAGTAGAAGAATCCAGCAAAAGCACAGAAGCAAACATTGAGGAGTAAGAAGCGAACCTTCCAGTGATGAGACTTGGCATCCTTTAAGAAAAAAAAAAAAACAAGGCTCAAATGCTGCAGTTAAAGTAGATAGATTTAATAGAATTGTGGTGTTTTATATTTACTATTCTTTACCTCGGGACTCAATGAATACTTTTTAATTGATCTCCACAAACGGCAGGTTATCAGCATGTAGATAAGCGAACTCACAATGAAGAGGACGAAACCTTCCTTATGCACAACTGAACAGGGAGGAAGGAGAAATCATGTTCAGAAACAGGCATCAAAATATTCAACATGATGATTCAGTAACAAAATAAAATTGCTAAATTAGTAAAGAAATGTATGAATGAAGACTCCACCATCCAAAAAATAAAAAACCCTGATACATGTCTTATGGTAACTGGATCACTCACAGTATGTCTCATTAGATGACACATATGTAAGAAGCAGCAGGCCCAGGTTCTCAAAAATGGAAAAGGTCAAGTTCAAGCAGCTGAGTGCGCTCTCGGAGGACCTGGCAGCAAAGCGGGACTTGTAGAACCTGAAGTAGGTAAAGGCCACCAGAAGCCTCGGAGCAGAGTGCAGTCCGATGCAGAACCGCCATATGTGGCACTCAGGACTGAGGCTGATAGAGGCACTGATGGATGGCAGGTAGTTGGGCACCTAAAGACAAAGAAGGAGGAATGTATTCTATTTTTTCACACAGGTGCAGAATGTGACAAGTAAAACTAAATAAAATATAATAATAATAATAAGAAGAAGAAGAAGAAGAAGAAGAAGAAGAAGAAGAAGAAGAAGAAGAAGAAGAA